ATTTTTTTTTTTAACTAAATGACGCGTTTTTTGTAAAAACAACGTCATTTTGGGCCCGTGTCCACAATTCATTGTGGACACGGGTCCAGGGCATAATTTGCCGATCATGGCTACCTTCTCTTTTAAAGGTGGGCTCGATATATTAAAATAATATTATTAATTATTAATTATATTAAAATATTAAAAAGTAAAAAAAATACAAGAAACTGCCGGGGTTTACAAATTTGCAACTTCTGCAAATTTGCAAAGCCCTATCAATAAATAAAAAAAAAAAAAAGAAAAAAGAAAATAGTTATGTCAGATTGCAAAGGCCATATCAACTGGGCAGCCTTAGATTAGATTATTTGAGTAAAAAAAAATAGTGATGTCAGATTGCAAAGGCCATATCGACTGGGCAGCCTTAGATTAAATTACCTGAGTATTTAAAGTTGCTTGGTTAGTTACAAATGAGTCTCTTGGAAGGTATATTCATTCCACCTTCTCAATGGAGGGTGGAGATTAATTTAATTATACGGTTACTATTTATTCTCTAAATCCTCCATTGATTTAATGTACCGCTAATATTCATTCTCTAGAACCCTCTATAATTCTCTATACAACCAAGAGGATTTCATAATGTTCTAGAATATTCTAAAAGAGTTAATTCCAGCAATAGTCCTCCGACTATAGTGATTTTCCAAAATTAGTCCTCGACTTTTAATTTGGACACTTTAGGTCCCTTGACTTTCAATTTATTTCCAATTGAGGTCCTTTCATTAGAATATGGTTCATTAGACTTTAAATGAAGGGGTAAACTCGTCATTTCACATGCCTATGTATTATTCTTCGTATTTCTCCCTTCGTATTTCTCTGTTATACCTTGTAAACATCTCAATAATAAAGGAATGCACACACGAGTAGTCAGCAAATGGGGAACGACGAGGAACATTTTAAGGTTTCGACTAAGATTATCTTCATATATATCGCGTATACAATGGAGAAATACTAAGAATAATACATAGGCAAGTGAAATGATGAGTTTACCCCTTCATTTAAAATTCAATTAACTGTATTCTGACGAAAGGACCTCAATTGAAAAGAAATTAAAAGTCAAGAGACCTAAAGTGTCCAAATTAAAAGTCAAGGACTAATTTTGGAAAATCAATATAGTCGGAGGACCATTGCTGGAATTAACTCTATTCTAAAACATCCCTACATCTTCTAGTGTTATGTACCTGCTTCCAAACTATTCTACAAGCTAAGAGATATATGTATAAGTGCAAGAAAATTTTAGAGTGGCGTAGCAAACCTCAAAATCTTGTACAAATGTTGTCCGGGCGCTACATGTAGCTGTAATTTATTTTATTTTTTTTTTGAAACGTATGTATCTGTAATTTATAAATAATGAGTTGCCCTCTCCATTTTACATAAATAATGGGCAGAAATTTCCACTATGGAATGGCAAAAATGGATTACAAATGACAAAATAACAGAAGGAACTACAGCTCTCTGCCTTCTATAATGGGAAGGTCAGGACAGTCTTGAATCTCAATGTTATCAAGAAAAAAAAAAACAACAAAGAACAAACAGAGCTATAGTTAGGGAATATTTTTGACTGCTACATTCTGTATAAATTTGGGTAAACAAAATCTGCAGAAATTCTAACCTACTCTTCATGCCAGGTCGGGTCCCGATGGGAGCTGTTCATAACAGTCATGGTTCTTGATTGTTTCAGAGTTGTTAATCAGGATGCATTTCAGAACTCCAATGATCAAGCTTACGGCCCCTATCAAGATGCTGGCTACCCACAGGTTCTAACTCAATGGCACTGTATCTGCAAATGTCCCCAAGAATTCCACTATCACTGCCTGAAAAGCCACTGTGGAGATTATGATTCCCATGAATAATTCACTGCTAAACATGCCACTGAAAACATTTATTCTCTCATGTCCCTGCTGTTTATTTCATTGAATACCTGACAGAAAAAGAAAAACCCAGGTTTTCAGTGCTCAGAGGGAAGAGTTGGGGAAATTTGTCAGCTTAGAAGCTCAAGATTGGGGAATACCTGGAAGAACAAAAGGTGTTGAAGATCATGGTGTTTAGAGTTATAGTAGCAAGTGGACCGTCAAGGTTTAAGAGATCCTTCCCACGAAACTGGAGTACACAAAGGATTACGATTTGGTAGATACTTTGGCCTATGATGTTCCTCCACATGATCCTTGTAATGAAGTTAACATTCCTTCCAATAGGTGGCTGCTTCAATAGTTCATCACTCGGAGTCGGAGGCTCTGTTGCGAGTGCTAAAGCACCTAGAGTGTCCATGATCATATTCACCCAAAGGAGCAGTAAGGGATGCAGAGCCTAAGATCACGAGTTAAATGTAAATTAAATTAAGCATCCATAGTTCAGGGCGAAGCAATAACACAGAATGAAAAGGTGTGGTTCAGTTCACTACCTATAAGACAGGCAGAAATGAAGTTTGTCATGAGGGCAACGACGTTCACTGTCAGCTGGAACTGAACGAACTTTTGGATGTTAATGTAAACTGAGCAGCCCCATTTTGCCACAACCAATATAGTTGAAAAATTGTCATCCATTATCACAACATCAGCATTTTCTTTGGCAACCTGCAGTATAGATTCTAAAGACATTGGGAAAACAGGATTGGGTTCACAAGAACCTTGACTTTAAGTGTAGTGTAATCTGAAAATAAGTTTGGGGATAATCGAAAGAGAAAAGAGTTACAAACCTCTGTTCCTGCTATGCCCATAGCTAAACAGATATCGGCCTCATGCAAAGCGGGAGCATCATTAGTCCCATCACCCATCACTGACACCACTTCCTGGAAATCCCTTCTCAACATGGTAACTAATTTGTGTTTGTCCAAAGGTAACGATCGTGCCATCACCTGCAACTTTGGCATTATATCCTTCATTTCCTGAGGGGTTTTGTCATGAAAATCTGGGCCTTCGATGGCTATACCATCATCAGTCAGTATGCCACATTCTTTTGCTATGGCCTTGGCAGTGTTGATGTTATCACCGGTAACCATTCTCACTGTAATTCCTGCATCTAAACAAGTTTGAACAGCTTCTTTCACACCAGGCCGAACTGGATCTTTGATTCCAACGAGAGCTATGAGTGTATAGTCGTTTTCTGGAATATTACTGCTAGGAGAATAGCCTTCTACATCTTGAAAAGCCAGGCAGAGTGTTCTCAGAGCTTCACAAGCGAATTTATTTATAACATTGGAGATAACGTTTCTACGTTCATCAGATAAAGGCATGGAATGCCCTTCCTTCGTTAATAATTTTGTTGCAAACACTTAAGATGATTTTTGATGCGCCCTTACAGAATGCTCTATGGCCACCTCCTGGAAGAGCCACAAGAACAGACATTTTCTTCTTAGTTGAGTTGAAAGGTTCGACTTTTACAATTTTGGTGCCCCGGGATCTTGATTGGAAATCACCTTCAAGTATCAACCCAAACTCTAACAATGCCATCTCGGTTGGTGAAATATGGAATGCAAGAGAACTGTCAGCGTCTTCTCTGATATTAAAGACTTCAAAGCGTTTCGAGGGTCAGTGATTTGATTTATTACCTTGGTTTCGCCCGATATCCACAACTTGGTTAGCACCATGTGGTTTGTAGTCAGTGTTCCTGTTTTATCTGTGCAGATGCAAGTAACAGAACCCATTGTCTCACAAGCAGACAGATGCCTGACTAAAGCCTTGTCACTCATTAGTTTCTTCATTGCAAATGCCAGACTTAGTGTCACGGCTAATGGCAACCCTTCTGGAACAGCAACAACTAGTATGGTTACAGCAATTGCGAAGAAATTCATGAGGCGCAACGCATCATTTGAAGCCCATTCCGTGATTTCGCCATGACTTGCTTTTACTGCCAAGTACCTGCCGGTAAGCACCACGAATGCCAAGACAACAAAAGCCAGACCGATTTTCCCAATGATAGTGGCTACACCGTTTAGTTTCACCTGCAACGGTGTCTCGTCCTCTCCGATTTCACACAAGGTAACCATTAATCTTCCCCACTCGGTTCTCATTCCAACTGCTGTCACCAGCATTTTGCCTGCTCTGTCTTGCACTTTAGTACCTGACAGAAGAAAGGGGTTTCGTTCATCAATGCTAACTGGATTGCTTTCCCCTGACAAGCTGGATTCATCAATCCATAAGCTGTAACCCAATATGAAAAGCCCGTCTGCAGGAACTTGATCTCCAATAGACAGGTGAACAATATCCCCAACAACTAAATCATAGATAGAAACTTTTTCTCTGCTCCCATTTCTGGTGACATGAATTTGAATGTTTTTCTTCTCTTTATCCAGGTCCTTAAACTGCAAAGACTGCCTGTAGTCACTGACTGCGGTGACTAGAACCACCAAGAAAATGCAGAGAATTATCCCCACCCCATCATACATGCCCTTTGGCCACCCTTCCCTGGCAATCCCAATACCTATAGAGACCACAGCACAAACCATGAGGATTGAGGATAAGGAGAGTTAGATCCTGAAGAGCCTCCCACACAAACATCCAGAAAGGCCTGGAAGGTTTCTCAACAAATCTATTCAACCCAAAGAGATTTTGCCTTTTCGTAATCTCACTCGAGGGCACACCATTCTCAAGAGAGACAGACAGCTTTCGCTCCAAATATTAGAAAAATGTACATTGATCACTATTAGCTACTTGACTTGGTTAAACAATCAATATGAGTGTTTGAATAATTAGCTTTTGTAACAGCGTATTGCTTCAAAATGCTAAAAATCAAAAAGCTACTAAAAGCCTTTTGAATGTAATCAACTATCAGCTAACAACTAAATACCAAACATTTTTCTACAATCAGCTAATGCTATCAACTAGTTAAAACCACTAACTCAATCAGCTAAAAACTATTTACCAAACACCCCCTAAATGCAGTTTTAATTAGTTCATAAAAGACTAATTAAAAAGAAAAGACCTTGAAATGGTATTCAGCATAGACATGTAACCAATATAGGAATAATACCTGAAATAGCTCAGAGGCACCATTAACATCACCTTCCTTAAACTTTTCCATTGCCTGATCACGATTAGCTTTCCTTTTCCTAATAAAACCCAGGAAAAAAATATAATCTTGACAACTAAAAAAGCTTCAAAAAGGGAAAATAAAAATTGGGCATTCATAATAATATACCTGTGCCTCTCATCTTCAGTGGCTGCCTTACAAGGCAGATTTCCACCGTCAAAAACAACAACGGGAGTAATCTTATAGTGTCGAAGCAAATTGATTCGATGCATGAAGTAACTTAAGTACTGCAATTTCTTCCCACCTTCCATATCCAGACTGAGCTCCATACTACATGAATATGCTGCATTTACACGCAATTTATTAACAAAACTCCCCCAAATCTCAAAATAAAAATGATGAATGCCTATAAAAGGGAAAAGCCACTTACCCCCTTTGTGCAGCCATGAATAAGCGTCAATCCCAACCTATACCCACCAACAAAAAAAATTGATAAAATCATTCTAAAATAATCGAAGGAAGGCAGTGAAGAGTAAAAACACTAATTTGAAGCGAAAACGACTGGGAAAAAGATTAAAATCAATAGAATATGATGAATTACTCGTTAACCGGCGTATTTTCTTATGTGGATGGGTTCAAGGTGGGGTTTCATGAACCTGAGGAGATCTTTGATACCCATTGCCGGTTTTGTCGCAAATAATACTGGGTAGTTCTTTTCTTTTCTGTCCGAGCTTTTTTTGGATCTATAGATTTAAAAATATGAGCTTTTTCTCGAGGGAACGGCGACAATATGGCCGGAAGAAAATAGCTTCGTATTACTGAAAGAGAAAGCAGGGATAAACTGACGAGACTGTGACAGATGTATGTGACCGGCCACTGCGAAGTCACCACGTTACCATTTATCAGGGTGTTTGCGTACGTGGCCAAAAGCAATTGGTTAGTGGTTTAAAGTTTTGGAGCGTCAGCTGTTTTCGATGGAGCTTAGAGCCTTAGACGTTTTAACCTTTACCGCGAAATAAATTTGAAAGTGAGGCACGTGAAAATAATTGGCGCCACATATTTACCACACTGCTGGATTATTAGATATTTAGAATATCAAGAGCCGTCCCGGCAGGCTAATTCATCTTGCCCCTCCAAAAGGCGGCAAATTATGTTGTGGAACCTGGACAGGGTTCCAAAACTGTTCATAATTATGAATATATAATTCAGAAATTATGAACATAGATTTGTGAACATAATTATGAACATATAGTTTTGTAATTATGAATATAGAGATTCAATAATTGTGAATATGAAGTTTAAAAATTATGAATATATAACTTTATAATTATGAACATAGAGTTCAGTAATTGTGAATATGAAATTTAAAAATTATGAATATATAGATTTATAATTATGAACATAAAACCGTGTCCACCTTGCAAGGTAGACACGGTTTCACAGCATAACGATTGCAAAAAGGCGGGGCGGGCTAAATAAAGAGGAGGTAGCCATGACTGCTTCCTCCTTCATCCGACGATGATGAAGGGGAAGCAGCTATGGCTACTTCCTCGATCATTCATCTGGATCAGTTGAAGGAGGGGCACAGCCATGACTGCCTCAACCTCGTCCAGGATGAAGGTAGGGGCAGTCATGGTTGCCTCCCCCTTCATCCACAGTAGACGAAGGTGGAGGCAGCCATGATTGCTTACACCTTCTGAAATTTAAAAAAAAAAATTAAATTAAATTTTTTAAAATAATAATTAATATAATTTTTTTTATATATAATTTGACATTATAACATCATATTCAAGAGAAACTTGGAAGTAACCTGTAAAAAATGTTGTTTGCACAAGTTTTGAATTTTTAATGGTCTAATGGTACACTTTTTTTGTTCAATTGCACAATGTGTAAAAGTTCAGTGACATATTTGACACTTTTTTCTATATAATTTTTTTTAATATAATTTAAAAATTATTATACACAACTGGAGGTTATTATCCAAGTTTTTGTCCTATAGCAAATTTAATTGTTACAATGCATAAAATTTTCACCAATAAATCAAATACATACTACAAATAGTCAATTACATCGAAATTAAAGTTATTTGTATTTTTAAAATACTTTCTAACTTTGAAAAATATACTCTAGCAATATATCCAGGGACGGAGCTATACTGTCTCTACAGGGGGCCTTGGCGCCCCCCCCCCCCCCCCCCATACACACACAAAATATTAGCCCCTCCTAGCTTAGTACTAGCCTGGTACAATAGTACCATTGAGCCTCCCAAAACAATTAAACAAATATTTTTTCTTTTGAAATTCCCAAAACAATTAAACAAATACTTCTTCTACTCTTCTAGAACAAGCATTTGGCTTCTCACTCTTGATTTTCATCTTCTTCAAACATCTATTCTTCTTCTCTTCAACAATTAATCTGGTAATCTTTTTTTTTTTTTAAGCTTTAAATAATTACTTTTTAATTTTGTATTATTATATATTTTATGGAAGAATGCATTTATTATTAATTTCAATGTTCAAAGTTTTTTTTCTTTATTTCTTTAAGTTTATGCTTTTAGTTTACTTCCATTAATGGCTAACATCAAACTAGTAGAGGTTGAGAAACACACAAAGAATTCAGATTAAACAAATCAGTGCTTCAGTCTTTACTCATACAATTGAATAATTTCAAACAACAAAAATAAATTTAATTTGGTTGGCAAAAAAAAAAAAAAAAAAAAATGAAAACCTAAAAAATACACCGAAGAAGTGAGAAGAAATAAAGAGAAATTGCTATATATAATCAAAGTAATTAATTAAACCACAACCCAAAAACAAAAACAAAAAAAAAAAAGATGAAATTTTTGAAGCAGAAAGAGAAAAACCAAAGTGAAGATATACTTTAATTTAAATTGATTTTCACATGACTGCATGTGCAATGTAATTCAGAATCTGGCACTAAACTGCACTTAGAAGGACTAAACTCTTTAAGACTTTATTTTAACAGGTTGTTCCTATTAGTGAGGAAAAAATGGAGTTTGTTGACTTTGTTCACATAGGTTCATATCATCTCTTTTTATTTCGAAGGTACATAAAGCTCACTTTTAAAATCTTATTTCAATTTTGTTATGTGCATTATTTACATTATTAGAAGTGCTAACTTGAATACCAGAATTCTAGATGGACTCGTGTGCATTAAATATTGTATATTTGTATCCCACTAATTAATCTTAAAGTTTTTTGTCCTCATCTGTTTTATGTCATTACTCATTTGATGATTTGAATGAATAATATTATACTAATTTGTACTTTGTAGTAGTAGTAGTAGTGCGTATGTGTGTGGGTCTTGTAGCATTATATATTTAAATGTTTAATTGACTTGTTTAGTTTAAATGTTTAATTGACTTACCAAAATATTAACATTGTGATTAATTGTGAACATAGGAAGATTGAGCTATAATGAAAAAGATACAAAAAATTGATACTTTTTTTAAAAGAAAGAATTCTGAAGATTCATCATCTCAAGTAAATCCATCTACAAGTGTTGATCAATTGAATTCTGAAAGTCGTCCTGAAAAATCTCAAAGAATTGAAATCAATGAGAAGTTTGACATTCAAGCATTAGAACGTGATCCAGGATTGCGACTACCAATATGGATGTGCCCCGTTGACAAGCGTGATGAAGTTAGGAGAGCCTATATCAAGGTCGGCCCATATCAATGTTTGCTTTCAAAGTATCCAAAATCTAGAGAAAAGCATCCTCGTAGTTTTCAAGCATCTTGGTTTAAATTATTCCCTTCTTGGTTAGAATATTCTCCTAGTAAAGATGCAGCATTTTGTCTACCATGTTATTTATTCCATACTCAAGATGGGCCTTCCGGATTGCATGCTTTTACTATCAATGGTTTTTTATCATGGAAGAAAGTTAGAGATGAAAAAAAATTGCTCATTTTTAGCACATATTGGGAAAGATCTCACCTCCCCTCATCGAAATGCCGAGAAAGCTTGTGCGGATCTCATGAACCAACAATCACACATTGCACAACATATTGAGAAATTCACATCTCAAGAAATAGTTGAAAATAGACTTCGCTTGAGAACTTCAATTGAGGCAACGAGATGACTTGCATTTCAAGGATGTTCTTTTAGAGGTGATGATGAGTCAATAACATCAACAAACTGTGGAAACTTTTTAGAGTTATTGAGTTTCATTGCCTCTTTTAATGATGAAGTAACAAAAGTTCTTGATAAAGCTCCACGAAATGCAACATATACATCACCAACAATACAAAAACAAATTTTGCAAGTGTTGGCAACTAAAGTAAAAAGTGCTATCCGAGAAGAAATTGGTGATGCAAAATTTTGTATCATTGTTGATGAAGCTCGAGATGAATCAAAGAGAGAACAAATGTCAATTGTCTTGAGATTATTTGTTGATAGAGATGGCTTTATACAAGAGCGATTCTTTGGAGTTGTTCATGTTAAGGACACTATTGCATCAACATTGAAAGAAGGTATCTTTTCTATCTTATCTCGTCATAATCTTGATGTTCAAAATATTCGAGGACAAGGTTATGATGGTGCAAGTAACATGCGTGGAGAGTGAAATGGATTGAAAGCTTTAATCTTGGATAAATGTCCTTATGCTTATTATGTTCATTGTTTTGCACATCGATTGCAATTGGTATTAGTAGCTTCATCAAAGGAAGTCATCCCTGTCCATCACTTTTTCACTAAGTTGAACTCCATTATTAATGTTGTTGGGGCTTCATGTAAGCGCAATGACCAGTTGAAAGCTGCTCATGCCTCAAATATTGCTCATTTGCTTAATATTGATGAGCTTGAAAGTGGGAAGGGTCTTAACCAAATTGGTTTTTTACAAAGGCCAGGTGATACTCGTTGGAGTTCTCATTTGAAATCTATATCAAGTTTGATGAGAATGTTTAGTGCAACGTGTGAAGTTTTACTTAATATTATTGAAGATGAAACTACACCTACTCACCGTGGAGATGCCGATGCAGCTTATGAGGTAATGACTTCTTTTGAATTTGTATTCATTATGCACCTCATGAGAAAAGTTCTAGAGATTTCTAATATGCTTTGCCAAGCTTTGCAACTCCAATCTCAAGATATATTGAATGCAATGCATCTTGTGGCATCTACTAAATTGCTTATTCAAAAATTAAGAGATAGTGGATGGGATGAATTAATTTCAAGTGTGAAGTCTTTTTGTGAAAATGTCAATATAACTGTGCCAGATTTTGATGCTAAATATATTGCAAGAAGAGGAAGGACTAGGAATCAACAAGATGAATTAACAGTTGGACATCATTACAAAGTTGATATTTTTAATGCGGTGATTGATTCTCAGTTGCAAGAGTTGAATAATAGGTTTGATGATAAAGCAATGGAGTTAATTATTCTAAGTTCATCCCTTGATCCAAAAGAAATGCGTATATCATTCAGAATTGATGACATTTGCAAGTTGGTAGAGAAGTTTTACCCACAAGACTTTGCAAATTATGAGATTTTGCAATTAAGAATGCAACTTGAACATTTTGAACATGGGCAACAACTTCCTGATTTTAGAGCACTAGAAAGTATTTCTGATCTCTGCCAATGGTTGGTGAAAACTAGAAAATTGGACATCTATCCTCTTGTGTTCAGAATAGTAACTCTCATTCTCACGCTTCCTGTATCCACAGCTACAACAGAACGATCTTTTTCTGCCATGAAAATAGTCAAGACTACACTTCGTAACAAGATGGATGATCAATTTCTTAATGATTGTTTGTTAGTGTACATTGAAAAGCAAATTGCAAAGCAATTTAGTATAGATTCAATTATAGATGATTTTCGTGATATGCAGGAGAGACGTTCTAAATTTTAGTACATTTGTAATGTAATGATCTATTTTGGTATATATTAAATGAATATTAATGTATTAAATTGTTCACTCTTAAATCACGATTGGCCCCCCGCATCATATAATCCTGGCTCCGTCCCTGAATATATCATCACAACTCGCTATAATTTTGTATACATTATACAAATCTAACCCACTTTCAAAATATTAAAAAAAAAAAGGTAAAAAAAAGTCATGACATAATCACACCAAATTAAAATTCGCACTCCTTTCATGAGTGTGGATGATCAACACTTAACATAGCTATACACCTATACTTATTAAAATGTGACATGGATACCTACTTTGATTTGTGAGATAATTTATCATCACTATTTGAAGGTGCGAGAATGAATACATAATAATTGTCAAATTGGATGAAAATTGACATTAAGTAATTAAAACTTATTTTATAACTGAATTTCCAATTTAATTATTTAATTATATTATTATAACAACACATATACAGCGTTAAAAGACAAATATATGTAATGTTATTTGGGATGAATCTCCATTATATTCTTTGACAGGGAAAATGAAAGCAATCAATGGTGGAAGAGGCGCGCAGACAAAGGCGATTTCACTGTTGCAGAAAAGGATGTGTCCAAGACCCAAATGCATGCCCATATAATAGGCTTATCTGATCTTTCGGCTTCAGATTACAAAACCAAAAAAAAAAAACAAACAAACAAAATGGTTTAAACCATGATTCTTAGAGTAAAAGAGCCTATTTTTGTGCATCATTTACAGCAGCGATCACAATAGCAATCAGGTATGTCTTGCTTTTTTTTCCCAGACTTAGATCGTTTTTCACCACTGTAAAGATCTCTTTCATGCTTTTCTTTCTTCTTGTCAGCTGTTCCCATATATAGATTAAAGCCAATAATGTGGGTGTGGTTTCAATTCTTCTGTTAGGTTGTTGTTTGATGTTTAATGCGTTATAACTCATAGTCGTCCACTCAAGCTGTGATCTTTCAATTCTTCTTGTGTTTCATCCTTGTATTCATTCATCTGGGTTTCACGGTTGGCCTTCATCAACCACTTCTCACACCTATCTGTTACATAACATAGATCTGGTGGGGAGTTTTTACAAGCGGCTGAAATAGAGGATCTTTAGGTACAAAATTGTTTTCAATTTGTTATTTTTAATTGGGTTCAATTAATGTGCATTTTTTTTAAAATTTAAAAATTATTTGGCGGTATTGGCTTTTGTGTTTCAGTAGGTGAGAAAGTAATTATGAAATACAGTCATAAATTTTAAAAATTTACATTATCTCTACATAGTATATACCACCGCAAGCCACTTGGTAAAGTTATATCACTTTATTTCATAGTGTTGATAATAAATAAATAATGCTTTCAAACCATAAAAATGCATCATAAATAATTGTGAAATGGTGAATAATATTAACAATTAAAAAAAAAAAAAAGCGGAGAATAATATTAAATTAAATTAATACATTATATCACCAATAAATTTGAATGCTAGTTCCGCCATTGTTGAAGTTGGTGTGTTCTTGATCTCATGTCAGGAGTGGAAGTAAACAATCATGGTAAAGCTGTCACCGCGAAGGAACCAGAGGAACAACAAGGGAGTCAAGGTGAAGCACGCCCTTCACATATGTGTACTGGGATGCGTCTGCATTTGGCTGCTCTATCAAGTCTACCACTCGCGAAACAAGACAGCAACATACGAGGCGTCCACAAAGGCGGCAACTGGAAACCGCAATGATTACATCAAGTTGGGGAGGAAGGACTTGGATCCCCGTATAGAGGAAATGACTGCCGAAGACCTCAAGAATGGCGGGCAGGACGAGGAAGAGGGCAAGAGTTTTGACGACGACGACAACAGCAAGGCGGTGGAGCTTGAACAAGATCAGGAAAAAGTGGAAGAGAGCGAGTCGCTCAACAGACAGAAAGAAGGTGAAGAGAACTCAGAACCAGAAGTTAAGGGAGGAGATAAGAGTAGTGGTGAGAAAGAGGAAGAGAGTCGAAATGAGGAACAAAAGGGGGCAAAGCAAGAAAAAGCAGTCAAAGAAGAGAACAAGGCTGTAAAGAGGGAAGAAACAGAAAAGCTAAGTGATAGCAAAGAAGAGAAGGCGGAGAGCAATGGAAGTGAAGAAAGAAATGAAAATGGAGGCATAGTGAAGGGAGTAGAGGTAGAGGAACACAATGAGAGAAGAGATACAATGAGTGAAGGAGAAAAGAAGCAAGAGGGCAAAGAAAAGGACACAGAGAACATATTTGCAGCAGCAGAAAATGGCACTCATGACTCTCAGGACGATAGTTTAGCCGAGAAAGGTAATGCAGAGACCATGACCATGAAAGAACAAGATGAACCCAAAAATAGCCCAAAGAAAGCAACAGATCATGACAAGAATAGTGAGTCGGTTTCAGGTTCAATTTCAAAGTCAGCAGAAGTAAAAAATGGAGCATCCTTAGGAGGGACAGGGAAAACCAGTTTGGAGGATAGCTCCAATCCTACAGAAGGAACAATAGAAGCTAAAGAACAGCAGCAAATTGAGGATAACTCCAATCCCATGGCAGGAAAAACGGAAGCTAAAGAACAGCAGCAAGTACCTGATAAGCCAGTCACTGATGCTACGCAAACAGAGAATAGATCTGCCGGTTCAGGGGATGAATCCAATACTGTTGGTGATGAAACTGGTTTGGAGGATAATTCCAATCCTACAGTGGGTTCAAAGGAAGGGAATGAACAGCAACAAGAACATGATAACTCCATAATTGGTTTAATTCAAACCAAAAACAAACCTGTTGATTCTAGTGGAGATGGCAAAGAAACTGTTCCAAGAGAACAGACTGATAGCTTAGATGCAAATTCTATTTCTTCCTTATCAAATGGAGAATCAAGTTCAAATTCTACATCTGGTGCTGACTCCGGTTCTGGAGAAAAAATTAACCCCTCAAATGACAACGAGACTACAAATCCAAGTGATAACGATTCAACAGATTCATCAACCTCCCAAAATGAAGATTCATATTCAGGCTCAACTACAAACCCAAATGACGGCCAACAGAACCAATTCGAGTCATCCAATTCAGCTCTTCAAGAAGAGACAGATGTCCGTACTGATTTGGAAACTATACCACAATTCCCACAAGCAGAAACTGAAGAGAACAACCATGAAGCTACAGAGTAACACATCATGTTTTTCTTTTTGAAGACTAGTCATTTTTGTTCCTTATCTACCATTTACCAAATGGATAGCCGGGAAATTACAGTATTTGCTGTTTGCTAGTCAGACAGCGCCAAGCCAAACAACACTGTATAAAGTATAGTGTTTGACATTACAGAAAGAGTTACAGTGGGTTCAGATGAATGGAAAATTGGGGGGAAACTAGGGTGACAAAAATTAATTTTCCTTGGTTGGACCGGAACTAAAATGAAGGAAAATGGAGAGGGAAATGGGAGGGGAAACAAGACCTTCATCCATTGAATAAATTGTTTTTCCTTTCTTATTTCAACAACCAATAATTTGAATCCAGTTCATCTCTTAATTTCAGTACATAGATCACATTTATTCTCACTCCAAAAAGAAGTTTTTTCCTCAAATTATTCACGCAGAAGAATTTAATTTGGAAATGGACTTAAAATGTCATTGATTTGACTGTTAAATATTCATGATAAAACTGTTACTTCAAGTAAAGAGTAATTCTTCTACATGACACTAAATACGCAATCACTTTCTCAAATATATCACACCTTTGAAACATAAAGCAACTTTATGAAATGATATGTTCAAACTAGTGTTACATACTTATTCCCAATATAGGCAAAGTATATGAAACAAAGTAGATATGTGACGGAATAAATCTCTCAAACAGTTTTGAAGCCTCAGGCCTCTGATAAAGCAGACATGCGAACCAAACATTTATTGCTGCAGTAGTCACAGAGATGATAGATGACTGTAGATTAATGATGCTTACTCTCGAAAAGACCATCTGGACCTGCATTTGCAGAAGATTGATTAATTCTAACTCGAGTTTATCAATCAAATAACCAATTAGTCTAGGAATCACAGTGTCAGACAATATTCATCAATTCTAACATCATTAAGAACCATAAACAATTGGCATTAGACAATAGCAACTGATTCTAGCACCACAACACCATAATCAGTGGCATTTATGATTTCAAAACCCCCTCTTGCAATCAAACAAGGCAACATACAATTATCCACAGTTAAAAGTTTGGAATCTTGAAGGGCATGCAAACTCAAAAGAAAAGACCAAGTAAAATCGATGTTATTAGAAACAAAAACAGAAAATTCAGTTAAAAAAGTAGAATACTTTACCCCATGGAAACTCCTTGTTACGAATATGCAAGTATGGATACGCCTGCAATCACAACACGGATGAAATTAGGAAAGGTTGAAATCCAACAAAATGGAACCACATGTATGAGTATCAACATATATGCATAATTGAATACATAACAAATATACATAGAATTATAGATAGATACACAAGCAAACAGAAATATCCACACTGGATTCTAACATTATTGAAAAATTGGATGGCACAGAGAGCTTACAGGAGGCTCTTCATGGTGGGGGTGACCCTTAGAAAGATTAACAATAGCAAGGATAGTGGAAGCAGCTATCGCCACGTAAGAGATTTTCTCCCATTTCGCTGCTTCCTCTGTGGAAAGAAAAATAGATAACCTTTCATCACAACATACATATACATGGAGTACCAACAATTTCATATACAAATCTAAAAAATAGGAAACTATATGCTATAATATGCCTTTCGTGTATCAAAGGCAAAATCTAAATCATATCAGCTTGAGCATGCGGTATACAGAATTTCTTTATTTAAAAACCCTAACTTTGCATACAAATATAAACGGGCGTGTTAAATTGGAAATCCATATAGGAACTACTCCATAGATAATTAGAAATCTTAATAAGAATGGAATATGCAATCGGATTTTGAAGCATAAACTTACGGGCCTCATCGTGCTGGGCGGAGGAAGAGAAATTCCTCTTGGAAGCCGGAGCTCCACGGGCAGAACCGCCGCGGAGGGCGGAGCGTAAGCTGGATCTCATCAACGCCGACGCCATTTTGGTCTACTCTTTCTCAATTCCTACGGTCTCACGGCTGGATGCTGGTGAGCTGGTATATTTTGCGGGTTGTCCACTTAATTGTAGATGGGCTTGATACTAAGAATGGGCCTAAACCACTACCTTTGCTTTTCGTTTTTATTGTTTTTTTTTTAATAACAAAGGAAACTCATAATCACTAACTGAGTGTGCACATTTGCTAATTTTTTGTGTAAATTATGTTATGAAGATATTTTATGTGTAACAAATTTATTCGCATAAGCAGTTCAGTTTGTCACAAGAATGAAGTCCGAAAAGAATGATGATAATGAAGTCTGAAAAGAATGATGACCAGAGATTGAGTCGAGTCTCATTAGCGATGGTGCAAAAGAGTGTGGACAAAAATCGAATACCAGTATGAAATTTGTACTTCACCCTTTTCAGACCTAAGTTCAAGTACAAACTCGACCAATCAATCTAGGAATGCAATCTTATAATTGTGTGGTTACTAACTGACTAACTTGGTTGGAGTTGCTCTATATTCTTTTTATATTTTTTTATGTGTTAACATTAATTAAAAATAAAATTTTAAACCCAATTTCTATTTATTTATTATTTTGTATATACAATAACCTGACTAATTGGGGGAAGAATAATACTAATTGAAATAATTGATTGGATAAATATTTTTGTGTACGGATGACACGTCAGTAGCGTTAATTACTCCGTGTTTTCATCAAAACCGTTGATTACTCCTTGATGGAAATCGAAGTAAGAATCGGCAAGATCGAAATCATAATCGTCCCCAAGCGAGTCCACCACATCTTCTGTGCTCCACCCCGCACGCAATAGTATCTTCGATAACAACTTAAGACCTTCTATATCGCCTCCGCCATTACGTCTCTCGTCAAACTGATCACAGCCGTCCATCATCATCATCTCTCTCACATCCTCCTCCTTCCATCCACCGTCCCTCAACCTCCGTACCACCTCCCCCACCCACCCATCCAAATCCTCGCTCCACCACCGGCGGTGTTTCCGACCACCACCGCCGCCGTAATTCCCACGCGCCTCAACTAACTCCGTCCAGAATTCGATCCTCCGCGCTTCCGTCGCGGCCCACGCCGGCGGATTCGGCAAGTTTGGTAAGCTGGGCCGGCTGAAAACGACGTCGTCGCGCCTGCTGAACTCCACCGTTTGAAAAAATCCGGCGATATCGAAGCTCCGTATCTCCACCTCCCCGCCATGCACGTAGAGTACCGGGTTTCCCGCCAAACACGGGGCGGAAGGGATGTAGAAATGGCGATAAATGGGGACGAGAAGAGGAGCCGTTTTCGTGAACCCTTTAGCCAAACTCACCGCCATATCCGTATCCTCAGGCATTTCGCCCCAAGAATCCGTCCAAAACTTCCCCCTGGAAACTTGCTTACACAGACCCAATATCGGGAGATTGATGATGATCTCAAGCTGTTGACGCGAGGATGATCGCCAGTTGGGGAAACCGGGGCCGACGGGGAGGCCTTCTCGGAGGATAGACCGGAGATCCGGGGGGAATGTGAAGCGGAAATCCGATTCCAGGGCGGAGATTTCTACGTCGGAAAGGCCTTGTTCCACCGGAATATCGGCGGATTTGAGGTGGTGGATGAGATTCTTGGCATACGCCGCGTATGAAAAACAGACCCTTCTTGCTTTTGGGTTGTTCGTTGTCATCTCATCTATCAGTGTCAATACTCAATAATGCCTGCGTGCTGCGCTGAATTACAAGTTTTCAGTAGAAGATGATGTGCCGTGCGTGTAGAAATGAAAATTTTGGAGTGGAATGGATTATGGATACATACATAAACATAAACATACACTGGAGAGAACAGACAACGTTGGAAACGCATATCAAAAGGTGGGACACGAACTGTGGATGTGAAGACTGTTGGGATGGTTAAGATTTCCTAACCATGTGGAATTTTGTGTTGAATTATATACAAACTAGTGCAATTACTTGGTGGAGGATGGTGGATCCAATCAATAATATATTTTCCTCATTTCATCGAATTATATCTTCAATCGCATTGATAAGAACGGATAGAATTGTGTTGAATGAGATAATTACAATAGTACAAATATATAACAAGAGAGTCTTACGGAAACTGGGATTGGGAAGTCCTAATACTCCCCCTCAAGGTACTCCCCCTCAAGGTACAGTAGTGACTTGACTTGTAGCTTGTCTCCGGACTTGACTTGTAGCTTGTCTCCCAGAAAAGAAAATGCCACAGTTGATCCTTAGTTGAAATAAAATTAACCTGTATATCTCCATTTGCAACTCTGTCTCTAACAAAGTGATAATTAATTTCTACATGCTTAGTGGAGCATGAAAATAGGATGGGCACACATGTATGTATAGTAGCACCAAGATTATCACACCACAGCCTGGGAGTAGACACACTAGTCACGCCAATTTCACGCAGTAGAGAGAGGATCCAAATTACCTCAGCACAGACATCTGCTAAAACTTAAAAAAAAAAAAAAAAAAAAAAAAGAAAAACAACGTACACACTAGTTGACTTACGATCCTTAGGACAATCAGCGCAATCAGAATCTGAAAAAGCATGTAATTCTCTGGACATTGACTTCCGTATTCACAGAACATAAGTCGTAGTTCCCTTTGCATACCTCAGTACACATGAGAGACCATAGGAGCATGCATGTATTCTCTGGACACTAACTTAAGTATTCGCAGAACATAAGTAACTTAAGTATTCGCAGAACATAAGTAGTAGTTCCCTTTACATACCTCAGTACGCGTTCAATTGCTCCCAATGAGAGACCGTAGGAGCATGCATGTGTTGACAGAATTGATTGATCGCAAAGGACAAATCTGGACGAGTAAACGTAAGATACTGTAAACCTCTAGCCAAACTCCTATACTGTGTAGCATCATCATATAAATCGACTTTAGAAACAGTGGTTTTCGAAGGCAATTCATATCCTGCACAAGGGGTGTGCCTTGATGCAAAACGACGTCGCTTCAGATTTTTATTTTTATTTTTTTGAAATTTCGCTACCATGTGCTGGCGGTTAATTTTCTTTTAAAAAAGTCTCATGTTAGAAAATGTACATAATTTTATACTAGAATACACATAATTGTATACATGAATGTACATAATTGTATAACAAAACACACATATTTTTTTTTTAAAAAGATAATACATATAATCTAACATAATACATAATATACATAAACTTTTAACATAATAAGCATCAACTCTTAACATAATACACATAAATTTCCTGTTTCGGATGTACATAATTGTATTAAAAAAAAGATGTACATGATTGTATAAAAAATATACATAATTGTATAAATAAATACACATAATTGTATAAACAAATATACATAATTTATAAACAAATACACATAATCACGTCAACTCCCTACATAACTTACCAAAATGACGTCGTTTTGGGAGGCGCAGGGCGCACAGTGCTATGTGCGCCGTGGTGCAGGGTATAACGATTAGTTTTCGAAGCAGATATAGGAGTAGTTAACGGTTTACAGTCCATCATGCTAACACATTTTAAGATATCAGTCATGTATCTTTGTTGAGAAAGCAAAATTTCATCACCATATTTAACAGTTTCAATCCCAAGAAAGAAACCATATTCACCAAGATCCCTAATCTTGAATGTAGAGGATTATGCTGTCAGTAAAGTACTAACAAGATTTTGATCATTGCCCATTACAAGAATATCATCAACATATACCAGAACATAAATGAAGCTTGAACCTTGTGAGTAGTAAAATAAAGATACATCTGTTTTCGAAGCTTTAAACATTGTTGTCATTAGAAACGCATGCAATCGATTAAACCAAGCTCTAGGAGCTTGTTTTAATCCATATAGAGAACGTTTTAACAGGCAAACATGATTAGGAAACTACTTATCAATATATCTAAGTGGTTGCTTCATATAAACAGTTTTAGACAATTTCTCATTCAAAAAACCATTGTGCACATCAAGCTGCTTAATTGCACATCTAGAGGATATAGCCAAAGATAGAAGTAACCTGACTGTGGTGGGTTTGACTACTAGACTGATTGTGTTGAAAAAATCATGTCTAGGTACTCCATTAAACTCTTTGGCTACTAACATTGCTTTGTATCATTCAATCGATCCATCAGCTTTCCGTTTGATGCGAAAAACCCATATGCACCCAATAACATTCATATCTGACTGTGATGGAACGACCAAGTCTCATTCTGAAGAAGTGCATTAAACTCATCATCCATTGGCTTGCGGCACTCTTCATGTTTGACTGCCTGTGTATAACAAGTAGGTTCAGTAGGACAAACCTGAGTAGAGAGAGCCAAAATGGGAGCCTCAGAATGAATCCGAGTCGCCATGGTGTGCGTCTGGACCGTATAACTCGTAAATCGGGCCCTCGGGCGGGCGACGGTAGCTTCTTCAGTGGGAGCAATAGACTCGTCCCGGACCGGTTCCGGCTGGACATCAAGAGCCGGGGTCGATTTAGGCTGAGTAATCTGAACCGTAGCCGTGGGCTGGATTGGACAATTACAGATTCAGCTCATGGCTGAATCATCTGAACTGGCGGTGCCTGCAAAACATTTTTACTGAAAGGAAATACTCCTTCATCAAACCGAACATGCCTACATACATATATCTATTAGTCTGAAGGTCTATGCACCTATACCCCTAAATGACTCAGGATAACCAAGAAAGACCCAAGAGGAAGACCTGTAATACATTTGTGGCGATTGTAGGGACGCAAGTAAGGATAGCATAGACAACCAAAGATACAAAGAAAGGAATAAGACGGAAGTGATTTATGCAATAGAAGATGAAGACTAGAGTTATTTAACAGTAGATGGCATCCTGTTAATTAAATAAACCGCAGTCTCAAAAGCATAATCCCAATACTTAGAGGGAGCAGAAGCACGACTCGTGAGAGATAAACCTGTTTCAACAAGATGTCTGTGCTTTCTTTCGACACGACCAGTTTGTTCATGTGTGTATGCACAAGATTGTCTGTGAATAATTCCTTGTTGAGACAAGGTGGAATATAACTTTTTATATTCAGCTTCTAGGTCAGACTGTATGGATTTAATTTTACGATTGAATGGACGCTCAACCATAACACGAAACTTGTCAAAAATTGCATATAGATCAGATTTCTAAGACATGGGGAAATACCAAGTGTAACGAGAGTAGTTCATCAACAAATATAACGAAGTAACAATATCCATTATTAGAAAGAATAGGAGCTGGTTCATGAATGTCTGTCTAAACTAAATCAAAAATACATGAACTAGAGGACTCAACACGCGGTAAGGAAAAACGTGCAGATTTCCCTAGCTGACATGCATTACATAGACCCGAAATATAACAAATATTATTTTTGACCCACTAACCGAACAAGAAGAAAGAATTTGACTAAGAACACGTTGGTGTGGATGACCTAGACGATCATGCCAAACTGACGCGGAGAGAAATGCAGTAGGAGACGAACTGGGAACAGGAAGCTTGTAAAGCCCCCCAAAGCTATTTCCCCGTAGAAGAGTTTCCACTACAAGAATGTTAACATTTAGCGACATTTTTTAAACGTCATTAAAAACTAAAAAAGTCGTCAAATATCTTTACTGATGAAATAAAAACGTCACCCAGACCGTCGGGTTAGCGGCGTATGGAAAGGTATTACTGACGAAATTAAATTTTCGTCACAAAATATTACGATTACTGACGTTTTTGCATTGTCTTGATAATGTCATTCAATACACACTTTTTAAAACAAAATATTCACAAAAACGTCGGTAATAGTTTGTGACAAAGTAAAATATTTTGTCAGCAAATGTGTCTTTACTGACATTTTCCATACAATTATGCTTGTCATGAATAAATTTAATTGGTGACGAAAAATGAAATGCGTCAATAAAATAATATTTATTGACGATTGTGTACATTATTATGTTGTCATTAAAAAAATTAATTGATGACAAAATAACAATTTGTCAATAAAAATGACAATTACTGATGTTTTTCCATATTCATTTTTATCGCAAAATTTTATATTTGGAGATATTTGTAATTTTTTTAAATAATTGATGATAATTTACATATACTTGTATATAAAAAGGTTTACACAACAGTTTCATGTAATTGAGAATAAAATATTTTAACATCAATTAAATGTTCAAAATAGAAGAATATTTTTCATAGTATAATATTGAATTACAAGGATGTAATGTGATACAAATGATTCTTAAATAAGGCTATATATATATATATATATATATATATATATATATATATATATATAATATTCTATGCACATAAAGATGGATAATAATTATCATTTTCATCAAAACTATTGAGGTCGGCAATTTGGAAGTCCTTTGCCTTGGGAAGAAGGTATGATTTGATGAATACATCTAGATATGCAATAATTCCCTGCCACTAAAAAACATAAATATTTTCAAGCATGAGTAATAAATTATTAAAAACTATATATTAAACTCAATCAGATAGTTAATTTACATTGTTTTTTTACTTTCTTATGATTACATTTAATTTTTAACATAACTGATAGGGAATTGCCCTGAATATACCGTCATACAGGCTACACGTTCTGTACATTTGGTCGATATCAGGTTCGGGTCAGATCTCCGGCTCGGGGTTGGGCCTCCACCTATATAATGGGGAGG